ACCCTCTTCTTAGAGCAGCCCATTATGTTCCTAAACACGACTATCGCTGCCACTATCCCAGCATTTGTATTTCTACTGAATTGCTTCTTTTTTATGTAGGGTGCGGCAATTGTGTTATATGTACTTCTGCATTCTCATAAGCGTGTCATTACCATGCCCGTTTTATATGGCCATTCCTATGTCCTGTCATTTAGGCGATTCGTTAAAGCGCGATCATAGTTAAGAAGATCACCCGCTCGGTGTACGTATATACATATATATATAAATAGGTACATATATATATAAATATGTGCATATATATATAAATATATATACATATTTATGCAAATGTTAAACGGCCGATTTGCGTTGAATGGAGCGCCGTCGCTCACTACTGTAGCCTTTTTTCTCCACGTCACCCCTCTCTGCACAACTGTGTTTCCACTTTGATGATCTTCCGTTCGCAGCTAGCACAGAAGTGAAGCCAGTCGTGTTCGCTTAGCTACATTCGTAAATTTCGGGTTGAGGACATCCATCCTGCTGCTTACCCCGTCAAAGGATGCATCGTGTGCACAATTTTGTTCCACATTTGAGGTTCTAACAAGTCCAGAACCCCCCTAACTCATCAGAAAGGGGAAAAAAAAATTCAAGTGCAAACAGGGACAACTAAGCAATTAACACACATCAGTAAAGAGAAGTGAGAATTATATCCCTCCCCCACCACCACCCCCGTGATGGTATCATGACAAGTTGATGAGACTGCTAAAACCGCTTTTATATACCTCAGTAAAAGGCTCCAATTGCTGCAACCATTGTGTGAGCGCATTTGTGAGGAGAAGTTCCATTTTCGACAAAATGAGTAGCCCCATTTGTGAAGAAAACGTGCCAGAGGACGAATTGAGGAAGGCTCAAATATTATGCAAAGAGCTAGACGAACTAAAAATTCAATACAAAGAAGTGAAGCATGCAAAAGCAACCTCGATTAAGGATCTACTAGATATGAATTTAGAAAACTCGAAAAATATTATAAAAAATTTATTCCTCAAAGATAAAAAAAAAAATTATTTCTTCCTATGTACCGTAAACTGGAAAACAGTCGACTTAAAATATTTATCCAGCATTTTTAAAACGTCCAATTTAAGATTTGTCGATGAAGGGAATTTAAAAAGCATGTTGAATTTGGTGCCTGGTTGTTTAACTCCCCTTGCTTTGAAATGTGACCAGGAGAATGTTGTCAAGCTATATTTTGACGAGGAATTGAAGAACATGGAAGATATAATTGTCCATCCAATGCACAACTACAGCAGCTTGTACATGAAACAGAAAGACGTCGTCAAATTTTGTGAGTTGCATAACCACGCCCCGGAGTACATCCACATTGAGGAGGAGAAGGACAAAATGAAGAAGGAGGACATGCAGCTGGAAGAGGACAAAATGGAGAGGCAAAAGGGGGGAAGCGGTATTGGCAGCGGCGCCAACGCGGGAAAGGACGACCAAGCGAAGGACGCCAACATACTAGGAATCATAGCCAAGAAAACGGTGAACTTCTCCGAATGGTACACACAGGTGATCGTAAAGAGTGAGTTGATAGAATACTACGACATCTCCGGGTGCTACATCCTCAGACCTGCTTCGTACTATATATGGGAATGCGTCCAAGCCTTTTTCAACAAAGAAATAAAAAAGTTGGATGTGGAAAATTCGTATTTCCCCCTCTTTGTAACGAAGAACAAATTGGAAAGGGAAAAAAATCACATAGAGGGTTTTAGCCCAGAAGTTGCGTGGGTAACAAAGTATGGCGATTCGACCCTCCCTGAAGAAATAGCAATTAGGCCGACGAGCGAAACGATTATGTATTCCGTTTTCTCCAAATGGTTAAGATCGCACCGAGATTTGCCCCTTAAACTGAATCAGTGGAACACGGTTGTTCGATGGGAATTTAAACAACCGACCCCGTTTATCAGGACAAGAGAGTTTCTCTGGCAAGAAGGACATACGGCTCATAAAAATGAAGAAGAAGCTGTCAAAATGGTTTTCGATATACTAGATTTGTATAGAAGATGGTACGAGGAATGTTTAGCTGTTCCAATTATTAAAGGAATAAAAAGTGAAGGGGAAAAATTTGGAGGAGCCAATTTTACGTCCACTGCAGAAGCTTTTATAAGTGAAAATGGACGAGCCATCCAAGCAGCCACTTCACACTACCTCGGTACCAACTTTGCAAAGATGTTTAAAATCGAATTTGAAGATGAAAATGAAATGAAGCAGTATGTACATCAGACCTCCTGGGGGTGCACCACCAGATCGATTGGAATTATGATCATGACCCATGGAGACGACAAAGGATTAGTTTTACCACCAAAAGTTGCCAAATATAAAGTGGTCATTGTGCCAATCTTGTACAAAAATACGGATGAAAATGCTATTTTTAACTATTGCAAGGATATTGAGAAGGTGCTGAAGAATGCCCAAAT